GGGGGGGGGGGGGGGGGGGGTTTGGAATTAAGGAGACTTTTTATGAAAGGGTACATTCTTACCCAAATGCAGGAAGGTGATGTTACTGAGCTCCGTAAGAAAGTATTATTCAGCTTTCGTGTTATGTCTCGTTGTTTTACTGATCCGGCAAGGGCGGAGGAGACCTTTCATATTCTTGATCAGTTAAAAGATTCTAACATTTGGAAATTATTGGCAAGTCTTCTTGACCCAAACAACAGCTCTCTTCAAGCTTCTAGTTCACGGGTAAGACATTAGACTGACGTTGGATTCTTTCGGCATTCTTTCTCTTCTTTTCAGTTTTTGTTGACGAATCTAAGTTTAAAATACTAGCAAAATTACATGAGACGATATCTCATATACCTTGATCCTCCTGCAGAGTGATTTGCTATGTATCCTTGGCGAGAAGCACCAACTCTATGAGTTCTTGAATGCTCTCTCTTTGAAATGCTCGTATCTACTTTTCAACAAGGACCATGTTAAAGAAATCCTTCTAGAAGCTGGCATACAGAAATCCACTGGAAATACCCAGTTACTTTTGTCTTGCATGACTATACTTGTGGTAACACACCCCCACTCATTTTTATTTTATCTATCATAATTCTTGACGACCAATGGTGTAACAACATCTTGAACTGTTTACTTTCCTTGATTCATTTGGGAGGAAAACATTGACCTCATACACATTGAATTCAGACTTATTTCGTACTGATAAGCCCAGGAGCCAAAAGTTATATTATGGCATCAATAATGGGGCAAATGAAACTCAACCCAGTTGCTCTAAATGTATTGCATGTGTTGTGTTTAAGAACTCTACTGCTGTAAACATCCATGCGCTCGTTTGATAGGATTATGACATAGGCATGCTGTTCTTGAATGCTGAAGCGCCATTTGTTGGCTTGAATTCATGTACTTTTACCTTCCTAATGTTCACACACCACAAAGAACAAAAAAACTAATTATTTTCCTATCTTAACAATATTTTTAGCATATTTAATAAGCTGAATAATTTATCATGTTCGGTCTAACAAATGAAAATTAATTCATTCCACTGTTTGCAATATAATTGCGAGCTCAACAATTCTAAGCTTGATTTATGATGGATCCATTCATGCATCACAATCAGAATGTCAATGGAAAAGTAAAGAACTTTTGTTTTGTTGAATTGTTTTTAACCTCGTAGGAAAACTGCTTTAGATTGATATCACGATCTTCGAGCTCTTGACAATTTCTCGAAATGCTAACTCCCTTCTTTTTCATAATTCAAATGATAAAATTTTCAGATTCTTGCACGTTTCAGTCCTTCACTGCTTGGTGGAATTGAAGATCTGATTCATCTTCTTGATGATGACAATGAAATAATTAGGGAAGGTGTTTTGCATATTCTTGCAAAAGCTGGGGGAACCATCCGAGAACATCTGGGTGTTTCATTAAGGTTTGAAAAAAACTTCTGATTCATAGACCAAATATTTTGCTCTTTTTATTTTTTGAAATGCCATTCTTGTATCTGCAGATCCTTAAACCTTATACTCGAGCGAATATGCATTGAGGGCAACCGAAGGCAGGCAAAGTATGCAGTTCATGCCCTGGCATCAATAACAAAAGATGATGGACTCATGTCACTATCTGTTCTATACAAGGTTTCTGATTGCTAAATTAGGAATTATTTCTTACTCTCATCTTTAGTGCTTTACTACGCTCTTATGATATATTTCAGTTGTTTTCTTAACATGCTGACAAGATCTGTTATCTACTTTTGAGTTTGAAATGGACAGAGGCTTGTTGATGTGCTTGAGGAGAAGTCACATTTGCCTTCTGTACTACAATCTCTTGGGAGTATAGCATCGATTGCCATGCCAGTATTTGAAACAAAAGAAAGTGTGGTTCAACAGTTAATAAAGAAAAACATACTGGAGCGCAGTCATGTATGCCTTTTGTGATTCTCTGGACTTGTGTGGCCTGTTTTCCTTTTCTCTTGTTTAAACTGTTTCATTTGAAACATGCTTAAATTTCAGATGTCCGGAGATGAAACAAATGGATGTTGGGATGATAGAAGCGAACTTTGCTCATTGAAGGTGTTTGCACTGGAATAATTTTCCATTAATTACTTTAGATGGAGCCACTCATGGCAAACCTTTATGCACTGGATTAATAATTGAATTATTTCTGCAGATTTTTGGGCTGAAAACATTGGTCAAGAGCTATTTACCCCTCAAAGATGCACATCTTCGTTCAGGAATTGATGACCTCATGGAAATCCTCAAGAACATACTTGCTTTTGGAGAGATCTCAAGAGATATCAAATCCAGGTAATGTGGGCTATGTGGTTTTAGAAAGTTCTGTACAGGTAACTGTAGTGCAATATCATTATGGGCTTGCCTGGTTACTGCTCTTTATTATATATGGATTTCTTTTTCTGTGTTACAGTTTAGTGAATAAGGCTCATTTGAAGCTTGCAGCAGCGAAATCTGTTCTTCGTCTATCAAAGCACTGGGAGCATAAAATTCCCGTTGACGTCTTTTATCTTACCTTGAGAACTTCAGAGGTAGAATTTATTTGAATGAAAGAATTTGATTATTCGTGGAATACATATCCTCATAGCTGTTACAACAAAACAGTTTGCTGAACAACTTTTTTTTTTTTTTGGGTACTTCAACTCTTGGTGTATCCAGGCTAATTTTCCTGAGGTGAAGAAACTATTACACGCTAAGGTTTATCAATATGTTAAGGAACGGACTTTAGACCCAAAGTATGCTTGCATCTTCCTACTTGACATTTGGTCTCAGCAGCTTGATTTCGAAGAGGTATATGACGTGCTGAGTATACATGTTGTATTTATCTGTTGGTCTTGAGTAACAGTGAAAGATTCAACAAGTTCATATATGAGATCATGTCATGTATCTTCTTTCCCGATGTATTTGGCAGAACAAACGCAATATGAATGATGTAATCCAAATTTGTCAGCAAGGGAGAGCACGCCAAGTTTCTACACAAAGTGATGCAAGTTCTCCACCACTCTATCCAGAGTATCTCCTCATATATGCGGTCCATGCTCTTGCTCATCATTCGGTGTGTCCTAATGTTGATGAATGCAAAGATATCAGAGAATATGAGGCTATTTACAGGTATTCCATGTCAAAATTCAATATCCTTGATGATTTGGATTCACATGGAGCTAGTATGTGAAGCATGGACACCGCTCCTAGGGTAGAGTGTCGGTGTCTGCATACATCGGACACCACCCTCATAGGAGACTCTGGGACCCATTTCTGACATTGCCTGTTTCCTCATTTTCTGACATGCCTTGGCCCATGTGGTTTGTCCTATATATATATATATATATTTGTTTCTTTTGAAATCCGAGGGATATGTCTTTGACATTTGAAGGACACAATAAGCTCCAATTTGCAAATTTTTGAATATGACTAGGAATTTTTTAGGTAATAAGACATTTGTGTGATAATGTCCAAATAATGTGTGAAAGTCCACAAACTTTTCTGTTGAATTTTTTTGTCTACTATTCCATGTTTTCTTTAGTTGGCACTAGTAACTAATAATATATAACCCAAAACTATCTCAGTTCAACTAATAGCCACTCCTTTAATTCAAAAGATTTCCCCAGAAAAATTTAGAATCAAAGCTAGAAAAGAGAAAAAAAAATCATTTTATTGAAAAGTGAAAAAGAATAAAAAAATAGAAATATATAAAATATAATTTTAAAGAATTTTAATTGTCCTTGTCCTTGATGTGTTTGTTTTCTTTTTAAAACAAGTTGTTGGCCTGTTCCTGTCATGTAGTGTCCTTGTCCTATGTCCTTATCCACGCTTCATAAGGCTGGAGACTCAAAAACTGCAAGCAGCCTCTGAAATCTCTTTTTTTCCTCTTTGTTGTACCTGAAAAAGAAATACATTTGAGAAGTTCATGTCCTAAGTGTCGTACTTCTCCTATTCAGATCCATTGTTTGAATTTGAAAAAGATACATTTCGAGCTCATCTGAAGAAGTAATGTTTGGAATTTGAGAATACTTGATTCCAGTTAAGCCACTGTTTGACACACATTCTCTAAAAATATATTCTTTTAAAACTCATTTTCAACCACACATTCTTCAATAAAATTATATTTTTTATCAAATCAATAATTTTTCCTTACTTTTTAACCACATATTTCTCATCATATCACTATTTAAAATACATTCTTTCCTAATAATATTCATCAAACACACGCTAAATTATGAACAACATGACAAAATTAGGCTTCGTGCCCTTCCTCGTTTGAGGATCCTTTCATTAAATAGAGAATGTGAACAACCTAATTATGATAACAAGACTAATTACAATACTTTACAATCAAGTTTATATTGGTATTTATGGTGGACGTAATCTTCGGAATCTTTCGGAATCTTTGGCGATCTTCAATCTTATTGACACCCCCCTTAAATTGATGTTGGATGATCAAGAAGCATCAATTTGCCGACAAGAAACTGATGACGTTGTCGGGTCATTGCCTTAGTAAACATATCAGCGATCTGAACATAAGTGGA